GCACAGAAATCAATGTGATCAATGCCCTATAGCTATCCTTATCTCAACCAGCAAACCCCTTGTTCCTTCCTATTATTGGCTTATACTCTCTCTACAAACAAAATTAGAGATAAGGGCAAAATAGTTTCTGCTGGTATTGAGGGGGGAGCAGGAGGGGATGGAGTGGTGGTAAGGAGGGGTGGAGGCGGGACGGGGAGAAATGAACCAAGCCTTGTATGCACATATGAATAATAAAAGAAAAATGAAAAAAAAAAAAGAGTGCATGCATGCTTTCAAACTCCCAGGAACAAGGAAATCTCATGTCGGATCATATACCTCTTTTTGCCACCACCCTGCTTGCTTTCTGCTAGGAAAGATGTACTGGAGAGTAACATTTAACCTCCATCAGTTACCAAAGAAAATCTCTGGGTGAGGTTAGTACAAGGAGCTACTTCATTAGTTACACTTCCATATTCTTCAGACTGTAATATAAGCCAAAGCTAATTAATAAGTACAACAGGGATACCACTTTTTTAAATGAACTGATAGCCCTCCCATCCGCATATCTCTCTACCAAAGGAAACCAAAATATGGGCCATTTGAATTTTTGGACCAATCATTATTATTTTTCCTTTTATCCAGATAACTGAGAACAGTTTCTGAAATATAATGTGCAGAATAACCTGGAAGACTTGTTAAAGTCGCTTCCTCCTGGACCACTGTATCTAGGAGGTCTTGCAGTGGATTCATCATCCTCCAGATAATTCTGAAGCAGGTGGTTGACACCCACCTTCTCACCATAGTTTTTCCTAAGAGTTGCCTGATGATATAACTGATAGATCTGTAAAAATTATGTTAATTCCTCAATAGTTAATCTGTCTTCCTGGGATGCCATGTTTGGAACAGAAAAAAAAATAAAATCTATTCTAAGGAGTAGGCACATAATTAAAAGTTTACAACTACACTGCCAAAAGGAAGTACAGTGATTGAGAACAATGGAATTTGAGGATTAATTAGTAATACTATGGCGAGCTTCGTGTAGTTATAGGCCAATAAAACAAGCACATTATACTGGCTCACAAAACACTTCCTGATTTCTGTAGGTGAAGAAAATTCACTGTGTTTTAGGAGATCAAACCTGAGACCTCACTTGTATTACTCAAAGGAGAATAACCACTCAACAGATTGTATGTGATGTGAACTTGTTCTGTGTCGTTTTCTTTGCAATCTATTTATGGACCTCCAAATGCATTTTAAAAATAATAAAGTTTTAATAAACTTTAAATATTATATCAATGCATAGGTTTATCATTAATTTATTAAGTAAAAATATACTGACACTGAGAACAAACATATGAAGATGGTTGAGACATAGCCCTTACTATCAAGTTGTCTGTGGTGTAGTGGAGAAGATGAAGGAAAAAAATCAAGGTCACCTGTCAAAATGGAGACATGTACATGGTACAAGAGAAGGATCCAAGAGGATACCCAGTTTGAACTCACTCTGGCAGTCTTAATATTTGGCAGGTGAACAAGAGGAAAGGAGAGACAATAAAACTAGCAGATACATGGAGACAATGATTCACATGACAGGTAATTTGGAAAGACTAGGATATAGGATATTAAGGGGCAACAGCTGAGGCTAATCTACAGAGGAAGGAAGGGGCCAGTCCATGCTTAAAACTTGGACCTTATGTTGAAGGCACTGTGAGTTCACTTAAGGATTTTTAGCAGACATGCTGTAATATAATATGCTTCAAAAGAAAAATCTGAGGAGGCATAGAGAATGGATGAGAGGAGACTATTTAAGAGACAGGATCTACTTAGGAAGTCATAGCTCTGTGGTTGGTAGTGAATATGATGGGACTGAAGAGGGTAATGCAGGTGGTGATGTCGGGGAGGGGAAGTATTCAGAGATGCTTAAGGACAGGGTGAACAATGCCAAGGGACCAGCTGGATGACAGTGGAAAGGCAGATGAATGGATCTAAACGTATTCAGGTTTGTAATATATATGACTGAGAAGGTGGAGGTACCAGGAACCAAGCTGTAAAATGTAGGCAAAAGAGCAATCACAGCTCATGAATTCCATTTGGGACATGTTGAGTTTGAGTTTACTTGAAGTAATAACAATTAAGATATTTGAAAGAGTACATATAAAGATCTGAACTCAGAGAGGTGTGGAGAGGAAAATACAGCTTGGGGCAAAGATGACATACAAAATATTAACAGGCATGGACGAATGGAAGACACTAACCAGTTAGAACAGGTACCTGATGTACCAGAAAGGATTCCAAAAATAAACAACTAGTGTAGAAACACACCACTACAAGGAAACACACAACTAAGGCCACCTTGGCACTGACAACCACCAGAAGGATGAGAGACCACAGAGAAGAAGGAGGGAAGAAGCCAGAGAACACCTACAATGGTTGGTGCCGAGGAAGAGAACCCAGAGAAAAAGGATGAGAAGGAATAGTCACAGAGGTCAGAGAACCAAGAAACTTTCACATCATGGTGGATCGGAGAGCAGAAAGCTTCAGACAGACAGCAAAGCTAACAGACTATTGAAGAGACATCTTGCCCAATCTTTCCCAGGCTAGACTTTTGTGTCTGAGAACTGGAGATGTTCAAGAGCAGTTTTCTGGGCCTACAAGGAAGAAGTCTCAGAGCTCAGGAGAAGGATGAGCTTGAACTTAGCCCAAGTTAGGATTTGATGGGGAAGCTAAAAGTAAACTTACTCATTCAGTAGTGACCTTCCACGAGAGATGGTGACTCCAACTATGCTGAAGCTAGACTGGGGTCAAGGTCAACAGGCTAACATAAAGGGTCATTGCCAAGGATCACAGAAAGCCTCACTGGGCAGCTGATCTGCCTGCCCATCATCCTCCCAAACGCAAAACCACAGTAATCCCATTCACCTTCCTTGGCTCAAAAAAAGATCGCCATTCATTCCCATTCATATTTATTCTCATTCTCTCTCTCTCTCTCTCTCTCTCTCTCTCTCTCTCTCTCTCTCTCTGTCTCTCTCTCTCTCTCTTTCCTCATACCTAAGCAACTGTTTCTAAGATATTATAACCTTCTGCGGTTTCTGAGATTAAAAGGGAGGGGAAGGAGAGGAATAGAGTCTGCGTGAATGCAGAAAAGAATAAAAGTATAATACTACCGAATTATCTGAGTGGAGACGCAGATTTAGTGTTCTGCTGCAATTACAAAGAATGTTTATTGAGTAAGTTGAAAAGAAAAATTAGGTTTATTGAAAGAAAGGCTGAAAAGTTCTGTGAGCTAAGATATTAGTTAAGATGCTATAAAAAATAGTGTTAAAGGATGAGTTCTAATTTCTTTTTTTAGGGAAAGATCAGGTTTGGATTCGCTTGGAAGCCAGACCTCTAATTTCAATTTTTTAGGGAAAGATCAGATTTGAATTCACATAGCCACCCACCCACATGGCCCTTGGCGTGAGTGTCCTGGCCACGTGTCGGTGATACTGCGCACTTCGGTGCCTGTCTTCCCCCTGTCTCCCCCCTGTCTCCTGAGCTCGCATGTCGTGACTAGAGAGCACAGCCTCATCAACCTTGGGCAACCAGCTGCAGCCTTGCGCGGAAGGCTGGCTCTGCGTGGAGCATGCTCAGTCGCGGCCAGACCCACTTCTGCAGGTCCGAGCTCAAGGCGCGGGATCCGAGGCACTACTTTGCTTAGTTTGCTAGGGACAGAGAGAAAAAGAGGGACAGAGAGTTGCTTAAAGCCTGCTCTCTTCTTGACAACCATGCCTGATCTGGAGGGGCGGAACATGCCCAGTCTGACTGCAGAAGCCACCAGGAGCGTTAACTTTCAAAATCCACTTCTCCGTGTTTTCACAGCAACCTACAGGCGAAGAGGGAGTAAAAGGGCCGGAGTGGGGCGTGGTGAAGGAGGCGGGCAAAGAAAAGCCTGGGAGGAGCCTGGTCCTCCTGAGAAGCTGACACTCTGCTCTTTTAAAAGCCACTAGCACTGCATGATTGTGCAGCAAAAACTTCTGTACGTGCTTACGATGATTTTAGCAAAATGATTTTTCCTATTAGAAGCCAACTTAACTATTCAGTAGAGAAAACATAGAAACTACAAATAATTTTTTTTTTGGTGGTACTGGGGTTTGAACTCATGGTCTGGGAGGCACTCTCCCAAGTGAGCCACCCCCCCACCAGTCCTGGTCTTCTGTGTGTGATGGGTTTTTTGAGATAGGGTATCACGAACTATTTGCCAGGGCTGGCTTGGATCCGAGATCCTCCTGATCCCTGTCTCCTGAGTAGCTAGGATTACAGGCGTTTCATATATATATGAAAATGATAAAAATCCCCATAACGCAACCCTTCAGACACAGTGAGCGTCCTGCTGCGTTTTCTCCCAGTCTCTTCTATGTGTGGGCTTTGCTGTAAGAGACTTTTGTAAATGACAGCGCAAAATCTCCCGGGAGTGCCTCCTTGGAAGGTGGCCTGACAGCTTTGGAGACAGGGTGGGTTTGGGGGTGGCTTGGTTGGTTCCCGATGGCATTCAGGATGGCACTTTTCCTTGTGTCCTGGAACAGTGGGATGCGACGCTCAGAAAAGTTGGGATGGCTACCTCTGGAACGCCCTGCCCCCCAATTATCAGTCACGCTGCCCAAGCAGGACGGCGTCTGAAATGAATGCCCTTGGCTGGGATAAATAACGTCCGCGTGCAGGCGCGGAGCCCCGGGGACCACCGAGCCCCGCCAGGCTGCTGCGCTCCGGGGATGGGGGCCCCACAGCCTCGCCCTCTCCTCCGCGGGTAGATCCCGCGGCTCCCACCGGCTGCTCCGCGCCCCGCCCCAGCCCGCGGCTGCCACGAAAACCCGGCGGCTACTCCGCGCGCCTCCGCGCCGCCCGGGAGCCGCACTGGGCATGCTCGCCGCCGACCGGCTCCGGAGCCCCTAGGAGGGAGCTCCGCACTCCCGGCCGCCCGCGGCGCAGCCCGCATCGCTTCAAGGCGCCGGCGGAGGCGGCTCATCCTCGCTCGGCGCTGCGGAGCGCAGAGCACGGCGCGGCACAGCTCTCCGGCTGGCCATGGCGAGAGGTGCACGGCGACCACCCGAGTGGCGTAGCGGTGTCAGGTTAGCGAGGGCACCCGGCGAACCCGAGCTGCGGGGCACGGGTGGGAGGGAGCCCCGCACCCGGAGGGGCAGCCAGAACTGCGGAACTTTCCGGCGCTCAGGCTGGAGGAGGCTGCGTGCTGAGAGGCGCCGTCAGATACCAGCAGCCGGCTCTTGAGGGTCGCAGGTTGCTCCAGATCCGTGCGGGGTGGGGGCTGGTGGGTTGGGGACAGCAGCTTCCCAGGCTGGTGCCATAACCTTCCGAGGGCCGGGAGCGCGTGGTCCACTGCGCGCTACCTGGGAGCCGTCTGGGTCTCCTGGGGGAAAGACGCCAAACAGAGACTGGGGGGCCTTCGCCGTGCTATGGATCACTCGAGTCACGGTGCCTCGGTTTCCCCTCGACAGGGAGGAGGGTGTACTGGCCGCGGCCCGGAAGGCCATAAGTGCGGGTGGTGGGTCAGAGCCCCGAGGGCACAGCGTCCTGATGCTGCAGAGGTGCAGGAAGCAGTGCGTGCTGTAAGCCGCCGCCTCGCGACTAGAGCTCTCGGAGTTTGTCGCATTTGACACCATAGCAAGTTGACATGGAATTGTTTCAGGTTCATGGTCTGCAATGGGAAAACGTGCTTCATAGGCTTAAAAAGCAAAGTAATTGCCGAACTGATTTATTTTAGAGCATTAATTTGCCTCCCTCTCTAAAAAGTCTTGACCTTGGAAATTGCAAAATTTTATAAAGCAACCTAGCAGAAAAAGATGTTTGTAGGTCCATTATCTGATCACATTGTAGAAAATCTATTATGGTTCAATTGTCATTGTTTTTAAGGACACTTGCTCAAATTTGGTTACAGTAGCAATCTTTATTTTGCCTTAGCTTTATATTAAAAACTTGGAAACCTTGCATGGCAGAAGCGCAGTGCTTTTTGAAGTTTTCTCACTTTTGTTTCCAAATGAAACACATTTTTTTTTCCAGTTGCTACTATGGTGAACATAGTAAAATTGTTCAGGATGAAATGCAAGATGGGAAAAGATTTCTTTTCAGGAGAGTAAGTTAGAACAATGTAGTTCCATTGATATTTTACAATACAAAAAGTGCAATTTGAAGGTCCCACCTCAGTGTCTACTCTTGTTCCTTCCTAAAGCCACCACTGTTAGGACTGTTGTCTGAGCTACAGTCCTTGTCCTAGTGCGAACAAGTTCTACTTCTAACTAAAGCTGAATTCACAAGCTGGTTTCTCTAGGTACTACTTAGTGGATTAGTTCAGTTGTTCTAGTTCTGAAGCTTACTAAAAACTTGTCTACATTCTTAATAGACTTTCATAGGTTTTAGAGATGCTTTTTCATTAGGTTGTGAGTAGTGGGTGCTTGTTTATAAGCTTGAGATGGCTTGGGCTCTGAGTTCAGATATTGGGTGATTCTCTAAGTTGAGTCTATGCTGTGCTTATTCATAACTGCCATTTAATAGCAGGAAACGCTTGGAACGTGTAGACAGCAACTAGCAACCACATGACTACCATTAGCTCATAATAGGCCTCCAGTTCTCCATGTTAGTAAAATAGTTTAGTTGGTGATATTTACTGCTCTTCTAAATACGTTTATAGAAAACTTCAGAAGTTTGAGAAACCCAGCACACATATTGAATAGTTGGGCTTCTCTTTTCTATAAAATGCATCAAGTTTTAAATCTGCTGTGAAGTACTGCATACAGGTACAACTTGTGTTGTGTGGCACATCTCATGTTTTCAGGCCACATTCCTAAGTGCAAGCAGGTAGGCTCTCCCCTTTGCCTTGGGGTCTTCCTGATTTGTAGGTAGCAGTGGGCCTCAGTTTACTTTTTGTGAATGTGGGATTTAATGCAGATACATAGGTCTCCTTTTGGATCTAAAAGTCTTAAGTATTTTCTCAATGCTAGGGAAACCAATGAAATTTAATTAAAGGCTTACAGCCCTAAGATCACAAACTCCACATTCTTGTAACTTTAAGCTAACAAAAACAATAGGAATTAGGCTGAAGAGGGGTTTTGTTATTGCTAATGAAGAAAAAATAATAAAGTTGATTTTTTATTCAAATCTCTTTGATAATTTCTTTTCTTCCCTACTTAACTATTGGGTTCTTTCAAGTCAGTGGCCATCCACATAATTTTTAGGTTTATCTTCATGTGTTTGGATGTCTGTGCTATATGGTGTTGTTAGTGGCATTAGACATTCATAGCAAAGCACTGGCTTTAGAAATAAATCTTCCCCCATTCCTGTGACCTTAATTTATTCAAGTGCTTCCGTGGCTTATAATTTGAATATTTGATGCTAATTTGGACTTTTAATGGCTTTTATACAAAAAATTCCAAATACTGAGATGCCAAATAATACTGTAGCTAAGTTGCTTTTAACCTACAGCCAACCTATTTAGATTGTAAGACTAGTCTGTCTCTCTTTTTTTTTTAAATTCAGAGATCGTACAGATACCATCATTTCCCTAACTTGGCATCTAAACCAGCACTTGGGGTACAACTTGTCTTTTCTAACCAAACCCAGAGGACTGAAAACTTTCACAATATTTTGTGATCTATGGTAAAGTTAGAAACAGTCTTAAGATGCAAAAAGTTGATTTAAAACAATATAATACCTCTGAGGAATGGTTCAAAGATCAAGGTTTGGTTGATTATGTGATAATAACCAATTAAGAAGTAGTTTATAAGTTATACTCCAAATACAAGTTATATAAATTTATTGGTCTTGCCTCTGCCTCCACCCAAGGTCTTATGCATTAAAATATCACATTAATTTTTCTCCCTTACAAATTTTTATAGTTAGTCCTTTGAGGCTGCAAAACATGAGTAAGACATTGTGACTCATGATGTGTTTGCAGTGATATGCTTGAGGACAAATATATTACAGTACAAGGTAAGTGCTGCAGTCTGTCTGCACGTGGCCTGAGGAGAGAAGGAAAGGAGCCCCTTGGATTGGAGGAGAGAGACTCATAGCAGTAGAGACTTTCCATAGGATGATCATAGGGAATGCTGAGAAGTGGGTCCTCTAGGTAGAAGAAACCCCATTATGATAGGCTGAAAAATGCCTGCCAAACTTGTTCACTTTGGGACTTTGCAGATGTGACTGAAGATGGGGAGATTATTCTGGATCATCCAGTTGGGTCCCTTGTCACCCCAAGGGTTGTTACAAGTAAAGGAGGAAAGCAGTGTCAGTGAGGACCTCTCTGCTGGCTATCACTGGCTTCGAAGATGGGAAGGGGCCACAGAACAAAGAATGTGGGCAACCTCTAAAAGCTGGCAAAAGTGAAGAAACAGATTCTTCCCATAACAACTGCTTGATTTTAGCATATTAAGACTCATGTTGGACTTCCAAGCCACATATCTGTAGGCTAATAAATTAGTGCTGAATTAAGTCACTAAATGTGTGGCAATCTATACAGGAACTATAGAAAACCAAGACAACCATGTATAAAGGAAGATTTGGTTTGATGGTGTAATGGGCAGGGATGGGACAAGGAGAAGGAAGTGGTCCTTTTGTGATGAACTCAAGGTCATGTAAAGGACTTTGGATTTTATCTCATTTTTAGATGAACAATGGAAAACCAGGAAAGAATTGTTTGGAGTTTCTGTTTTTCAACTCAGGATTTTTAGATAGCAATATAAAATGGACCGGTTTTTGCTGGATTTATTTTCCTAGAAAAGCAACGTGTAGCTAAACCCCAAGTCTCACAGAGCCAATAGAGGTCTGGAAGCAGCATGTTATAATTCAGTTCTCTAAATTGATCTGAAATGACATTCATATGTGTCTATGAAATTAATAGCTTAAGAAAACTTTTATTCACAATTCATAATAGAAGGACAGAAATTAAAACAGGCAAACCAAGATACATTTTAACTGTAGATGGCTTGTGAGTTAGGATGTTTTGACTTAGTGTTTGTTTTAAGATGGTTATTGGGACACAACCCCATTGTAAATCATGGATTATCTGTACTTTGTTTCTGTCCAGTGTCTTCTTAGCAGAAGTTATCTGTTCTGCTGTCTGCATACCATGCACATGTGAGCAAGGAGCTGTGAAAACTCAAATTTAATATAATTAGCTTGAGAATGATGAGATTTCACATAGGCCAACCCTGCCCGATTGGTAATAGCTGCCCACAGTGTTGTGGATTTGCACTGGCTCAGCTGGGGGACTGCCACAATCAATTAGCAGTGTTTGCCATGGGTTCTGTGCTTGGTGGGGGATGGGTGTCAGCACAAATACTGCCCTACCCACTTTCCAAGTTTAAATATATGAAATCCTTTCATTCTTTCCAGACACTTTCAGTCTCTTTTATGGAAAAGGCCTCAATGCCTGCACTATAAAAACTTACTGTGTGATTGAGTTGATACCTCTGTGTGCCTGGAAAATCTAAACTGAAGAAATCTACTTTAGTATTATAAGAGTGGCTTAGAATTGAAACAGAACTAGATGTCAAGAAAAATGATCAAGAGAAAAGCAAATTTTTCAGACAGTATGGTAGACGAAGCCCTGGACTAGCAATATCTGATATCAAAAACAACAGTAAGACTTGATTAAAATTTGTCTTAATAAAAGTAAAACTGTACCTATTTATATTGTTTCTGTTTATATAATTTCATAAGATTTTTACCCAAATGTCTTATATAATGATGTCATAATTCTTGCTTTCCACTATGGTGTACTAACTCAGTATAAACCTGTCAATCATGAAAAAAAGCAATCAGTGAGTTTACAAAGAATAATGCTATTTATTTGGGAGTACCAGAGCACTGCAATAGAAATAAGCCATGCCATAAACTGTAAGCATATTCAAAGAGGTTGAGGCAAGGGAAAGTTTTTAAAAGCAAAAAATTAGGAAGATTACATCAGATATTTTGAAACAATAATCCTTGGCCATAGTGGTTACTAACAAGAGTGGCATCAGTCTTGACAGTTGTTGAGCAGACATCCTTGTACTTTGTGTAAGGTTTTGGAGGTCTCTGTGACAAAGTCTTTTGTGGTGGTTTATATCAAGTAATCCTG